GAGACTTAGCCCAGAGAGAAGTGGTTCTCTCAAACAGGTGAAGGGCAGTGATGGGCTGCTGGTAGTACACTCAGTGTACGGGGGTACGGTACCCCTTGAACGTTTGATGAGTTCTGGGGTGTTGATACGCCGCCGGAACGTCGCTTGGTATAGTGACATCCGACTGCACTCTATGCCAGAGTGGCGGTCGTGGGCTGATCCTTGGTGGACTAGCCTTTGGTACGGTGAAGGAAGTACCAATGGTCCTTAACGGACCTGAACGTTTGGGTTCGATGAACTCGTGCACCGCAGTGTCGCTCGCAGGTTCTCGCCATGAACAACATGGCTGTGCCGAACATAAGGCACAGCCCGGACTTTGGTGTGGCAAGGCTGAGAAGCGCCTACCTGTCCAGGTCTATGACGGAGCATTGGTGAGTCATGTTCCCACCTCCGCCATGACTGGAGCGTCTGATACAGACCACCAGGATGCAGAAGCGTCACGGAGCTGTCAACGCGCCGACAGCTCTTCTTACAGCAACACCATGCTCCTCTGCGGCAATGCCACGGGCGTGGGTCTTTTCCCGGGCGTGTGGACCTGCTACACCAGCAGCGTCCAACGCCGAAGGTCGTCGCGTCGTACGGGCTTCGACAGTGGTTATGCCTTTAAGCGCTAACCAGGTGGGTAACTTGGGACACACGGTCACCCAGACTAACTGAAGAGGAGGCGCTGAATGCGCTTTCTGTGTGGATAACACAGTACCACACGCAGTCGCCCAGACTATAACTGAAGGGGAAGGCATCGTCCATGCTTCCTGTGCGGGTAACACAGTGCCACACGAGGTCTCGAGTGCCTCTTATGTCGTCAACGAGACATCACGACGTGGGTAGCAAAGTGCCACGTCACGTCAGCCGCCGCATGTCGGGTCTGAACCTTGTTCAGGCCGACGTCGCTTCAAGCGACTCGGAGTCCAGGACCCAGACTCCTCCGACTCGACCAGCTCTGGCCGGTGTGTGTGCTGGGTCTGCCACGTCAGCTGATCCCACCTTAGCCCTCCGTCCATTGGCGCCTCACAATCTCACCGAAGGTCGTCGCGCCGTATGCGCTTCGGCAGTGGTGGTGCCGAAGGGCATTCACCAGATGGGTAAGCTGCTTAAGGAGACCGACATTCGGCGCTCTAAGCGTGGGTAACAAAGTTCCACGCAAGGTCACTCAGACCTTAACTGATAAGGAAGTCGTGTATGCGCTTCCGGTGTGGGTAACAGAGTTCCACTCCCAAGGCGGGTAGCATAGCTTCGCACACAGAGCCATTGGCTCGAGGCACGAGGTTGTCTTGGCCTCGCCAGACGTGAGCAACTCGCTCGACGTCAAGTCGCGCAGACTCAAACGACACGGCCGACGCGGTCGTCCATACCGACGCAGTGCACAGGGCGGAGAGCCGTCGTTCCTGCCAGTGGCTATAAGAAGCCACGAGAGACTCAGTAGTCTCGAGGTTAAGTGGGGGAGAGGCTCGGAAATACCTTTTCTCCCTGACTTTCCAAGAGGCAGGTAGCCGTCGTGCTGCCAGTGGCTATCACAAGCCACGAGAGACTCGATAGTCTCAAGTGTAAGTGGGGGAGAGGCTCGGAAATATCTTTCCTCCCTGGTCTTGAGGTAAGACCAAGTTCCTTACGGAACCAGGCGCCGATGTACATCGACTGCGGGCTGGAGGCGAACAGCCGGACTAGAGCTGCGGTAGCTCTAGCCGAACAAGACATAGTGGCGAAGAAAGCCACTGGCGCAAGGTTCCTCGGAATTGCTGAGCGAATCAGCAGTGTTGGGATTACAAGCAACCACACACGAGGCGAAGCGCGGACCTAGTGCAATCAACGCACTGGTCCCTTGGTCATGAACGACCTGTCGAGTAGGGTGAACGGGGCGTCTCACCCGCCGACAAAGCGGTTGTGGTACGTGATGTACGCAACGCGCCGGGTATAATGGGCCATGGAGCCATAACCCAAGTGTGGTGCACAAGTGCACACACAACTGACCAGGTGGTGGTCGAGGCAAAGCACGCAGTCGTAACTGGTGCCGCACCGAGCATGACACCGTGGTGATGACAGCTTGCCTCACCATGAGTTGGTACCCGTGATTACTCGGTGTCAATGCCAGACACCAACGCCGCAGTGGCATGGTGGTGAGATATGCCCCACCACGGTCGAGTACCATCAAGGTACATGGTGGCTGTGACAGACACTGGTATAGGTGCAAAGGATATGCATCATACCACGACCCGATGCGCGCTGGGCGTATACGCTGTGAGTCAACGCACGCTCCATGCATCGGCACTGGCTGCTGTCGAGCAGCGGCCGGGAGCTCCACGTAATGAACTCGTCGTGCATGACACACATGAAGTGTACGGAGCACTTATGGTAGCTGTGGTACGTGTCGTACACATCGTACCTCGTTTACGGGCACATGGACCTGTACACTGTGCTTGCACATGCGTCGTGCATGATGTGAGCACTAGCCATGAATTTGTTCAGGCGACAGCACAGCAGAAGCTGTTGCCGCCAAACATGGCAGCCTTGTGGTGGGCGTACCGCACCAAAGGTTAGTACTGTACGGTACATGGTGTCGATGGGAGACACCTACACCACGGTTGTGTACCGTCACGGTACACGGTGTCGATGAAGGACACCTACGCGCCGATGGTATGGTGACCAAGACGCGAAGAGAGCGTGACAGAAGCTCTGCCCGCAAGGATGGATCCTTGCTGGAGCCAAAGGCATGGCCCGAGGTGAGCTGAGAGCTCCCTCTAGTGCTGGGGAAGGTGTTACCTTTCCCGGTGTCGTTCCTCGCGGGAGACACCATGCTCCGGACGCGCTCGCGAGGACTGTCGTGTCCTCAGCGTGCGAACTGTGGGCGAATGCCACACGTTCGGATGCTATTGCAACCTGTGCCAAAGCACTGTACGCGCGCTAGCGCAGGAGCTAAGGCAGCTCTGAGTGTAGGCTTTGCGGCCAACACAGTTGTGAGCATAGGGATGCAAATCCCAGTGAGCTTTAGAAGCACGAGTCACTGTGGGTGTGACTAAGAGCCACGTCAGTCTTATGATGGCTCAGTGTGAGAATTCACCTTTTGGTGTTTTAATTCTCTCGCTTCTGATTGGAGAGTCAGGTGATTCTCAGTTAGGATGTAACGGGGTACAATCCAGTGTGCCCCATGTTACATAAAGAGTGACCCGTCACTCTTGTGGACACCTGGTACACGGTACCAGGTGCTCTCAGTGCATGACTACTTAGCTCCACTATAGGTAACCTCTAGTTTGTATGGGCCTAGCTTATCTTACTTATAAATACAGCAGTCTTAAATCTACTCTTCTAAGTAGCAAACCGTTCCCTTTGAGACCGGGAACACGTGGACTAATGTTCACTCGGGTAGCTGATACCTATAAGCACCTCCTCTGTGCAAGGTGCTGTGTGACCCCGTCACAATTTGGATCGCTTCCGAGTGGATTAAAGAACGTGTAATAATTATATCGGAGGTAAAAGAAAACGTGACAGATCAATATTGGGACCACCCCGCATGTCAACCGCGCATTACTAGTACGCTGTTCCAGGGGCTTACAGTGTGTGGGGCCCGGAAATATTGGGTGAATGATAAAGCCGGCAGAAATATTCAATTCCAATATTTGTAGAATTTAGATAATACCATGGGATTCAGCAAATCCATTCAGCGCAAGCATTAAAAACTTTAAACTGGTAGTCTGATTTGGAGACTGCGTGGAGGTCTATACCTACCTTCTTAAATAATGATGCTATCAATTAGCTTAAATCACAATGCCTTTCTTTTTAACCGGACTCGGTCGCCTTTATTTTCCTATCATTCGCTCGACATCTAGCTTAAACCTCAATTTGACCACCTATCTAATTAGAACACATGTGTAAAACACAAGGCTGTACCAGCCAATGAATATTCTTGAGAGCTCCCAACCAACCACCCTTCTGAACAAACTTGTCGGTGCTGCTGTTACTTGGCTTTAATTCTCTTATTTTAAAATTTACACAGCCATATGTGCTGAGCGACGTAGCTATAGTATCCACGAGAAACTCGCTGTTCTAGCAGACTATCGGATAGGCGTGAAAGGTCACGGCTTTGCTGCTCTTAGCAAGAAGCACAGCGTGGCGGTTTGAACCCACGCCGATCGCGTAGGAGGGTCAAGCCTTAACGACCAAGCCATATTCCAGGACCCATAGACTTGCTTCTTCAAAGTCAAACAATTTGTTCGTTGTACAACACATATGCTTTCTAAACGAATATAACACACAAGCAGCGTTGTATTCATTTACAGCACCTATGCCTTATATGCGGGGTAAGACGGTAGTATTATAGTACATCGACTAAAAACCAGCACAGACGGCCAACAGGAACTGGCGTGGCCATTCGAGCAGCAAGAGTCTTTCACTGACACTGTCAGTGACAGGCTGCAGCTGTTGAGACCGAATCCGTTATCTCGCTCGTGTACTACGCTCACCATGTACGTTCTCAAAGTCACGACAATGCTCCCTCCAGACGGAAGCGAAGATGCTGACAGCATTGTTGTGAAGGGGTGACTCGGGCATGGAGCGATAGCAGCACCCACCAGAAGGAAAAGTGAGGTGTCCCGCCCGTGTCAACTTCAGTGATGACGGACGTTTCGAGTCCCGTAACGGAGCAAATCCCTGTACACAGCTGTAATGCAAAGGAGCAAAAGTTTTTTAAAAATAAATCGTGATTAATGATATATTATTAGTTATCTAAGTGTTCTTGTCTTTCTATACAAATATTAAACAATTATAAACAGACATCTTCACAATCGGTATGTTCTCTTCACGTCACCGCCACGCTTTTTCATTGCAGCATGACCGTACAAAACAGAGCCATGACATCTACATGTAGCCGAGTAGGTCCTTGCTCAGCAGCTAACACTCGTTCATTTTCACTTTCGCACTCCACGTATTAGTCTCATCACTGAGTAAAACCGCAGCAGTGAAGCAACCCCATGCACCCCACTGGAATCGTCTCGCTTGCCCTTGTAGCCACCGCTGCTCCTCGGCCAATGCCCACGGCCAGATGCTTGTTCCGGACTACCGTCAAATCTCCGCGAAGTTCCGCAAGGATTCAGGTGCCCTCTCTCAGGCAGGCGACCAGGAGCTGCAATATGCGCCCGTCGAGAATCTACAGGCCGCTCCCAGAAAGATTTCCCGGAGGCTGCGACCTTCAACCTCATGAACGGATGCCGCGGCACGGTGTACGAGGAGGGCAACAACGTCACTACGTTGAAAGCGGGAGCTGACTTCGATGTCAAGTGGATCATCCAGGCTCCCCACCCAGGCTATATGAATGAAGTTGAGTATTGTGAAGCCGACTGAAGGCTCCACTGGCAAGATCACATACCAAATCTACAAGACTATTCTAACAGTCGATCCGTTCGCCCAGAATGGCGGTGAGGATGGAGCCACCGCCACTATGCCTACTGATGTGACTGGGTGTGACAGTGCCGGAGACTGTGCCCTGCAATTCTACTGGCATTCGGATATCGCCAGCCAGACGTACCCAACGTGTGCCGATATCATTGTGTCTGGCGGTGGTGCTGGAACCTCGACCACTACCAAGGAAACAACTGCTCCGACGGCGATATTGTCGGAGACCTCCGATGCTGGTAGCAGCGCACAGACTACCCCTACGTCGAGCACTACGCCTTCCGCGGAGGATTCGAATGACGGTAGCACTGCCCAGATCACCCCTTCAGCGACCACTACTCCGACGGCTACAACGGCAACCCCCGATGCTACCACCGCTCCATCACCCGCGACGACGGCGCCGAGCTACTCTCCCTCTCAAGCTTCTGTCGCAGGTGATTCGGATACCAACAAATGCTCCCGCCGTATGCGTCGCCACTAGATTTATAATCACTTGGGCGAGAGACTTAAGATGTTTTGTAGCGTGTTGTCGATGTTAAAAGTACATGTATCACTTCTTACATACATGTACCTCTTTATTTTTAAGAGCTCATGAATGACAGCAACTTCCGTGCAGTCATTCATGAGCCTTTGACGTGCGACACATTTGCTAAAGCTGCAGATCTTTTGGAATCAGAAACAGGACCAGACTTGGTCCAAGCTTTTTGGGTGCCATCAGTGATGGCCATGCTTAAGCACTGTAGGCTACGAACATGGCGAGTCACGATTGCGTCGTGTCATGAGCGATGATTCAGCTGGTTTATGAGAGCTTAGATCAGACGGTTCGTAAACAGATTTTCATGATAGACGCGAGCACCAAACCGAGGCCAGAGTAATTGTCTAGAGCGACAGCATCATGCATCTCACCGATTTAGCTAGTACATGTAGACCGAATGTGCTCGCTGTAGTCCGCTTAAAACGGAATTTACAGTAGCCGTGGCATTTTACTGATTCAATCACCATCATTACAGATTTGTATGTTATCTGATCCCTAACAGCAGCTGTATCCGAGGCACGCGTGATTCAGCTCAATAAAGGCATTTTATGCGCTGTTAGGTGCATCATGCGTCTTGAGATTTTATTCCCGTCATCCGCTCCACTCGTTGACCATCTTGCTGTTCGATACTGTAGCTCAATCATTCGTCAATTCGCCCTCAGCCAAGCTCTTCGAACCGAAAAGCATGCTGTCAACAACAATCGTCTCCCTCGCGACCGTCGCCGTGTTCCTGCTCGCTGGAGTAGACGGCCACGGTCAAATGCTTTACCCGACGAACAGGCAAATGTCCGAAAAGTTTCACAAAGACTCCGGCGCTCTGATCAACATCGGCCTTAACGAGATGCAGATTGCCCCTATTGAGGGGCTTTCTCAGCACAAACAGAAGGACTTCCCGCCTTCGCCGACATTCAACCTTTTGAACGGATGTCGCGGTACGGTGTATGAGGAGGGTAGCAACGTCACCACTCTTCAGCCTGGCAAGAAATTCGATGTCAAATGGACGATTCAGGCACCTCACCCAGGCTTCATGAAGCTTAGTATCCTCAAGCCGAGCGAGGACTCCAATGGTGTGATTACGTACAAGAAATACAAAACCCTGCTGACCATTGAGCCGTTCGCTGAGAACGGTGGTGATGGTAGCACCACTGCGAAGATGCCTGCTAATGTTAAGGGCTGCAAGAGTCCTGGTGACTGTGTCCTTCAGTTCTACTGGCACTCCGATATCGCCGACCAGACGTACCCGACGTGCGCCGATATCATTGTCCCGGGAAGTGGAGCTAGCACGCCTTCTGCACCTGCCGCAGAGACTCCCGAGGCTCCCACCCCTGCCACGCGTGCCCCCAAGGCCACGACTTCGAAGCCATCGACCGCCGCGCCTAAAGCTGCTTCACCTGCTCCTGCTCCTGTGACGGCGTCTACTGCTACCAAGGGCCAAAGCCAGGAAATTGGTGGCGAGGCTGAGAGTGGCAAGTGTTCTCGTCGGATGCGTCGAAACTAGCGAGATTTCTTATAAACTATACCACAGTAGATGTTAAAGTATTGTTGGAAGTCGAACCGGTCAATGCGAATTTATTTCTTAAGTCATTGTATTAATACCACGACTTCTATTAATACTAGGTAGGCTGCCAACGGTAGGCGGCCTACCTGAAAAGAGTGTATTGGTAATGACGGCTCGAAGCACAACACATTCAAAGCTGCACTTTGGTTTCGGGAAGGTTAACCGCTCACTACATCGTTGCATGTGAGAACATCAAATTTCGTATTCGTCACAAAAGTACTCTAGTATTTGGTTGAACAAGCCGAGCGAAGCCTCGCAAGCTGACTGTTTATCTATTGCTATTAAGCGTATTCGCGCTTTGCTCACTGTCAGCGGAGAATATCTATTTTTTTATAACCGCTATGTATTAGCGATTGACCGTCTTACATATATTTGAAAATGCCGCGGTTATTAATAGTCTACTATTAATACTGAGGTATCGGATTATTTCAATTAGTATAGCTCCAGCCATTATTATAACTTTTTTTTACTAAATTTGAGGAAGAACCATTGTCACGCCTCGAATAAATGATTAGGAAACAATAGCCCCTTAGTTCCCAATTATGTTGGACTCTACAGCATAAGGGGTGTATACCCTAATTCACTTTCGTAGCAGCATCTTTTTTATTTTGTACCGTACTACATAAGAAGTTTTTTACTTATAGTTTGTATCGACCTCACTGGAAAACGAATATTAAGTTTATTTCGTGTGTGTAAAGTGAACGAATGCACAGTTGTAGGGTTTGGAATTCCTGCAAAGCACCAGAAAAAAGGGTATCCTCACCCACCAAGAATTGTTGGCCGACAGCCACTGATTTCGCTCATTTGAGAAAAAGAGCTGGCGCGAACAACGGCGGCTTCCACTGGCAAGAAACCCCGTGACAAACCGAGGAGTATGCAATCTGAATTCGCTCTCCGGCGGGAGCGACGCGTTCGACGAACAGCTGACAATGGTGTGCAGGTACCACGAGTACAGCCCCCCCCCCAAAAAAAAAAGAAGAAGGCCGCAGCGAATTCGCTAAACGCCCCGAAACCAAAAGCCTGCGGCGATGGTGCGGCGGAGGAGAAGGATGATGAGGCCAAAAGAGCCGAAGCATCGACAGAAGATATCGAAGTCCCAGTTGAAGACAACCTCGTGCCTGTGGACGGAGAGGAGACGCGATCGACGAGCCCAGCGCCGCGAGTGAACGAGAAGGTCGTGGGCAAGAACAAGGCGCCACCAGGTAAGAAGAGAGCCCCGGTGCAGGTTCCGGCCATGTAGAGTAGTGCCCTTCCGACACCCGGGGGAGGCACACCGACACATGCTGCATCAGCTTCTAACCCACAGCCCCAAGACACTGTAGCTGCGGACGTAGATGCAGGGATTATATCCCCAGTCGAGGTTGGGGAGACGAGTGAAGCAGCCCTTCTACCCGGACAAGCCCAGAAGTCCAATCGTCCGCCATCGCGAAGAGAAAGCGCGCTGGTACCAGGACATCACGGAAGCGCCGCCGACGTATTCTTTACGATGAGAGCGGGGAAGGAAAAGACGATTCGGTACGTTGTGTTTTATAGCCATCATAAAGTTTGCTCCGACGAAGGTATTCAACATAAGACTAACATAAGGCGTCACTGGTTTTGAATGCAGGTTTAATTCAGTGATGCCGAAGACGAAAATCCAGAGGCGACAACGGCGATACCGGACGTGCTTTGTCGACGGTGATCTCAGCATGATGGACTCGGGAGCTCAGACCTGCACCGGCCTCAACTCAGATGTGGATGGAGATCTGCATGAAGAGGCTGAAGATGAAGACGATGGGGAAGATGATGACTGCACCTGGGTTGCGGGCTTGAAATTTGGAGAGCTGACCGACAAAGATACTGATGAAGAACATGATGAGCTTCCTGCGTTGGCGTGGCTGTCAGTAACAAAGGACAGTGAAGCTATCAAGGCAATGAAAAGTACCAGGTGGGAGTACGGTACGCTATTGTAGCCAAGTCCAACATAATTGTGTGTGCGGACCGGGACATCCAACAGAAGGACTAACAGAATGATGGTTCTGTTGATGTCAGATCCTGGTAAGTTTGGTGCAGACCTCACGTACAAAGACTTGTACGGTGGACCGTATGGACCATCAACGAGTGTTCTTGCAGTTGCAGAAGACCCGTTGGCTTTGCTGTTCTACTTAATGCCGCCTAAGCTTTGGCGTCTGATTGTGATTAAAAGCAATCAATATCATTCCTAATCTATTCCACAGCGTGCACGGGCGATTCGGTCCCAACAACGGCGGGCCGGAGGAGAAATAGAAGAGCTTGGTGATATCAAGCGGCGTATAGCTGGCGTAGCGGACATTGAACCCTGGGAGGTGATACGAGTGATGGCCCTGTTGATTGCACGGACGTTGGCACCTATCCGGAAGGGTATTGCGGCTCATTGGTTTCTGAAGAGAGTTGGTGAACTGCCTGCGAGTCGATTTGGACAGTTCATGACCAAGAACCGATTTTTTTCACACAATGGGCCTCCTTCACTTCTCGAATAACAAGTCACCCCAGGCACGGCTCGACCGAGCGTGGAAAATACGGCCTGTTGTTGACGTGCTACAACGAACTTTCGCACGAGGATACCAAGCGCCGCCTGTTATAAGCTTCGACGAAGCTATGTTGCCGTCCTGCACCCGGTACAACCCAACTCGCCATTTCAACAAGGATAAGCCCCACAAGTGGGGGTCGAAGGTGTTCGTTGCAGCCTGTGCCAAAGCCGCGTACTGTATGAGGTGCGTCAAAAAATGATGGCGACTTCAAACTTGCCATCAATTTGTTTTGGTTAAAGTCCTTATGTTGTCTGATGTCAAACAAAAGGCATCAAATCTCGTTGGCCATCCAACATATAGCTAATATAACCTTTTTTTCCTGATTTTCAATAGAATTGAGTATATTGCGGTACCAAGGCGCATCTACACCCCCCCCCCCCCGTGCCTAAGGACAACAACACAGGCGAAGCGGCGGTGCTCCGAAATATGAACGCCCTCTATCATCCGTCCACTACTTCGCCGTGGAGACTGGTCATCACCGACCGCTTCTATACCTCTGTAAAGCTGGCACTGGAGCTCCTACACCGGCAAATGTACCTGACCGGAACGATCTCTGTAGATCGCTCTGTCCTTTTGAAAGCCGTGGCCACGAAGATGAAGACAAAGACCGTCAATAAGAAAAAGGTTACCATCCCAGCACTGGGTACCACCAAGTTGGCCGAAAACAAGCGCCTCCCGCAGCTGACAGCCGTCAGGTGGATGGATCGAACCCCAGTGCACATGCTGTCCTCTGGTGGCAGCCGACGGCCTGAGGTAGTGAGTATTTTTCTCTGTATTTTGAAGGCTGTAACTTCCATACTTATGCGTATGTACTGTAGTGCGTCGTGTTAACGGTAAAA